ATGCATATTGAGCATTCCCTCATTATCCTCTGCAAAGGACACAGACATGGAAGCTCTTAATGAGTGACAAATATATCTGGTAATATGTATCATTAGAGATGACTCAACAAAGACATAAAAAGAGCTTTGTGTCTGAATACGTGTGTGATTGTTTGCTCGTTCTGCTACCCGGTGCTGTTATCCTCATTAACAGATGGCCCTGACATAAATGAAGTTGTAAGATCTGCTTTTTTAGTAGATCGAAGTCACAGAACCGGCTGCAGATCTGAGTAGAAGGGCTAAAATAAAAGTGCACAGAAGTGACAAAAGTGTGCTGAATAAGTTCGCCTAGATTTTGTGTGTGTACTTATGCGGCAAGCAGAGGTTGGTAGCATTTTGCCTAACAGTGCACAAGAGCGACGTTCTGTCCTCAAACATCACACCGTTTTTTTTTCTACCAGCCATGATCACCTGTCCCTGTATCCATCTTTCCCTGTGCCTCCTGGAGCTTCAACTCAAACTCCAAACACTGCTGATTACTGCATGTATAAACGTCAAGAACAGCAAATCTTCTGACAGACACACCCAGGAATGGTGGATGTCTAAAAATGCTGCTTCCTCCTGATGGGTGATGTGATAAAATGACATTACAAACTCCAAGGAAACGGGAGCTTGATACTATTAATCTTAATCATATTATTACAGATAAGTAATTGATCTCATTGTGTAAAGAAGCATAGCATATAAAAAGCTTATTTAAAACTAATATGCATCAAAACCAAAACAGGAACGACTTGGAGGTGGAATATCAGTAGAGAAAAAAGGAGGAAAAAATCCTTTACACCTGCAGCTCTCAGCTGTGGTGAGCATATTCTGAAACAGTGCTCCACCTGGAGAGACTGTGCAGCATTCCATTTGGAAGACAGGGATTTACAATGGAGGTGGGGGCTGCTGCGCTGGTGGTGTCCATGTGTGCTCTGGCACAGCGGCAGAGGGGTAAGTGGAGCGGCGTGGTACCAGCTGCAACAGTGTGGCTGGGAATACACACTAAGCTGCCAATTGTGTGCCATCATAGCAAAATATGCTCAGAGAGACGTCTACTGTAGTAGGACCCTCAGTGAAGGCTGTTTCAGCTGGTGTTTCTAGATCAGTCTGAGTCTACGTGTTACATATGCTATTAATATTACAGGAAAAAAGGAAGGTTATCTGGGTTGGTGCCTTATGGTATTAAAATGATCGTTTTAAACTGTTTCAGAACAAATGAAAAAAAGAAAACAAATAAATGAAACACAAAAAAGTCTATTAACCACAAAAAGAAAACAGGGATGGAGAGATCTATTTTACACTTAAAAAGCTTTATTCATACTTTCTGCCCAACATGAAAAGTAAAAGCAGGAATGGATTTGAAAATAATGATAACATTGATACATTTTGAGATATTATATATGCATAAGGAAGTATATTTATATGTTGTTTTTGTTTTTTTGTCTCCACAAATGTAAAATAACACAATTGCAATTTTTCTTTATTCCAAAAATCGAATAGAAAAGGGGTATATCCTTTAGCTGTTTTAAAATGAACTGTGATATACTGGCAGTTGAATTTTAGAAGAGTTTATTGTCGTGATCTGGCCTGATAGCTCACTTTCATTTTTCATGACATTCACCTGCTTAATTTTGTCCGGCTCCTAATCAGTCACTCATCTCATCCACCTGCTGGTTCTTCTTTATATTGGGCTCAGTTCCAGCTATCGGGGCCAGATCATTATTTGTTTGCTGTTAGATGTTTTTAGGTTCTGTTTTCATAAGTTTTAGTTAGTCCAAGGTTCATGTCCCTGTTCCAGCGAGGAGATTATTCTGGAGCCAGTTTCTTCAGGAGAGTTTATTCCAAAACCAGTGGTGAAAATGTTTCAGCATTTCCCTAGTGATTCTGATCCCCTGATTCTGTTCCCTCTCTTCCTGGCCCTGTCTGTCCCCGTCTGATCTGTTCGTCTGAACCACCTTTGGACTCCTGCTGGATTTTGCCTGTCTGTGTCTGTGCATTTTTTTTCTGTCTGAACTGGTTGCTCTGAACCTGCCTTCACGCTCTGAGGATTCCTGGAAGCTTGGATTCCTCTGTTTCCTGTTTGGGTCAGAATCTCAGATCGTGCAGAGAACTCCTGACTCCCTGAACTGTTCCTGCCTGATCTGTTCTCCCCTGATTTGGATCGGCTTCCCGCAGCATCTGGGACACTGTGGGCGGCTCAGGGCTGCATGTCGTTGGCAGTGCATCGGCTGATCCTGCCAATCATTGAGAGGATGGACTGAACCGTTAAACCAGAGTGTCAGTGATTGGGCGGTGCCCAGTCCCCCTCCTGCAGCCGCAGCAGTCCTCAGTGCTGTGCTTCTGTTCTGTTTTATTTTAATAAACGTTTTGAACTTTCCTACTGACTGTCTCACCTCGAATACTGGGTCCGTCTGTCCCGTTTTCTGACACTGATACTGTAACAGCAGTTACATCAGAAACATTATTGTTCCATGATTTCACAAAAAAAGGATTCTTTTATCATTAATTCAGATCCAGAAAGCACTTATGTTTCCCAAAAAAGTGACTTTACACTGTTAACTTTAGGAGTTGTTTAGACAGATCGGAAGCTGTAGCAACCAGTACCTTCTCTTCCTCATTGTTCTCTTATTGATTCTTACTTTTAAAGTCCCTTCCTTTCCATGTGTTTTCCTGCACCCCAAACCGAATTAGGGAAGTGGAGTGTTTCATTTTTGTTTTTGTTTTCCTTCACAAGGAAGAACAAAATTAAATTAGAATCAGAATCAACTCCACTGGCCAAGTTCAGACCGCAAACAAGAGCTTTGTCTTCAGTTTCCATCTTTCACATCATATTAATATCAGTAGAATATGTAAAAGACATTAGAGGAAATGAAGTAAGGATGAGCTGCACAGATTGGAGATTTGATTAAATTAGATTTTGATGCACTACAGTTAAAACCATGCAACACGATCATGCAAGCGGCAGTTGAGAACATGATAAAGACCACTTTGAAAGACGGATTTGGAGAGGCAGATTAAGTATGCGTTAACCCTGACTTGAAAAATCTACATGTTTTGCTGTGGAAAGTGATTCCTTAGAAGGTATCATGTTGTGGAAAAGACAACCTCCTTTGAGCCCACACAAAATATGGCAAAGATTTATGTTCCTGTGATTCTACATGGAGGGACAACAGATTTGCAATTTAAGTGTGCTCCATGAGTCAAGTAGAATAAATCTGTGTGCATGTTGGCTATAAATGTGTACAATAAAACTGAAAAGCTAAATAAATATCCAAATCCACTAAGCCGGGTCTTATTTAAAGCATGATTCACCTATTTTATCATTCATATTCTGAGAATGAAAAATACATAACCAGGAGACAGATTTGTGAGGAGAAAATATGTCCTTGGACATGAGCAAACAAGGATGACAGGACACCTGTTTAACTATCAAAAAATCATTAAAGGTGAACATCCACAGACAGGATTGTTCATTTTGGCTTATTTCTTAGACAATTAACCAGACTTTTACTTATAATTCCCAAATCTGTATCTGCTTAATAGAAATCATCCCCATATTATGTGGGTAGGTAGAGTGTGGTGTGTTAATGTGGGCATGTGAGTAAAAGAGGGAATGCTCTCATTAATAAAACAGGGAGTTGAATAATTTCTTCCAAGCTGCTATTAGTCTAAATCACGATTAAAACAGATCACAGGACCGAACAACAGCGGCAGAAAAATGAAACAAATCTTTATCCAATTAAAAATGAATAACACTCAGCAGGAAGTGTGCCCTAAACCTACACAGGTCAAAGCAGAACCGCCAAATGAGCGTCGCTGTCTGCTGTCTCTCAGTGCAATCAGATAAACGGAGGATTGAGGGGATAATAGAGGAGAGAGAGAAAGACACAGCACAACAATCCAGAGTTTACCAAATTAGCTGCTACCCTGCCACGCTTCAGGGGCTCCCCCACAGTGCATGAATTAAAAAAAAGAAATATATAGAGAAATTAGCTGCTGCTTCAATTTCTACCGGCTACTGCTGCTGCTGCTGAAAAAGAAAGTAAAAAAGATGTAACCACCTGAGTAATGGACTTTTAATACCTTACTGATCATTTATAAGGATCTTTGCTCCACTTAGTTAAGAAAGAAAGAAAGAAAGAAAGAAAGAAAGAAAGAAAGAAAGAAAGAAAGAAAGAAAGAAAGAAAGAAAGAAAGAAAGAAAGAAAGAAAGATTTAGATATTGATATGTAAACCATGTCAAAAACCATATCAGTCTGGGAAGGGGGGGATCATATGTATCTGCTTCCCCTCTTTTAGAGCCAATGCACAGTTTAGTGAGGATGAGGATGTTAAAGCTGAAAAAAGACCAACAATGTGATTCTGTAACCTGAGTGTTTCTAATATTTCTTCAGAGACCTGCTGGCAGAACAGCTTTTCCTGAGCAGCTTAAAGTCCGATCAAACATGCTCCATCATCTGCTTTTATGAAATATCTCCAGAGAGCATGAGACTGAGCGACATAGAGAGGGAGACAGAATAACAGAGCAGGGTGGCCTCCCTCCTCTCCTCTCCTCTGCTCCTTCCTTCACACTCACACCCTCGCAGACCCAAAGAACCGCTCAAGCTGGAGGCTGAGCGGAATGTAGATGCGGCTGGAGACAAGAGCAGAAGCCGTGATTTGCACACAGACATTAGGAACAGCCTGCACTCTTTGCCCAGTCCCCCTTTTCCTCTCTAGTCTGTTTTATGTCCTCTCTCTCTTTTTTGTTGAAATGTGAGGCTTTCCTGAAAGTGAGTGGAGCGCAGAGTATTGCCAAAGCCGACACTGTTCACCCCAAACTCGGTGGCTGAGCTGACAGCTGTGCAGATGAACTCTGACTGCAGGCGGACGGTCTGACGGACGCTGGAACAGACGCAAAACTTAACAGACCTCAGCAGCGCTGATAACATCAAAGAGAAGCCGGGGAGACGCGCGCGCGCATCTTTCTGTCCTACCTGCTGGAGGAGAAAAGTCAGAAGGAAGCAGAGTCTAGCGTCCATGCTCGGTTCGGGTCGTTTCGGTGGGGGAAACACAGAATGATTCAAGGCAGGGTGTTAGAGGCTGGGTCAGCCCTGCTCATAATTCCTCTGTCCGGCGGTCAGAAGGTCGGGGGGGAGAGAAGAGGCTTTTGCTGCGAACAGCCAGCAACTTCCCACAAATAGGCAACAACTGCAGTCTGATGGCAAAGCGCTGGATGTGAAGGCGAGACTACGACCAACGGATTTATGAGAAGGACAGGGAGAGAGAGAGAGGGGAGAGATAGAGAGAGAGGAGGGGGGGCTCCTTCCTATATGAGGGTCAGCGTCTTCATTTTCAGTACGTCTGGAGGGCAGACACGTTTTCAACTTTCTGAATGATCTGCGGCAGATTTGGTGTTAATTGATCAGTACAAGATATTGACTCTGTTCTTAAGCAAATGATGCTCATGATATCCTTATGTAGCGTTTGTTCCTATAGATTATGTAGGTGAGCAGAACAAAGCCTGAGAGGCATCCTGACTATTCCTATTTATATTAACCTGAGGATGTTAATCTGCAAAAGACTCGGAACCACTTGAAATAATTATGAAAAACATGAATCATGAGTTGTCTCCTGAAAAACTTATTTCAAATAATTTGACAACATTTTGACATTTTTTATGGCTCAAGTCACTTCTAAATACTTACAAATCCCTATATATATATATATATATACATATATATAGATAGATAAAATACACACATAAAAACACACCCCTGACCCCTAAAGCTTCATCAACTTTGACTGGAATATTTGCTTAAATTATATCCCTAATCCAAAGATGTTCAACTCATCAGTCCACCCTTTGCAGCTAAACAAATTCAAGTCTTCTTAGAAAGCTTTCCATAAGATTTAGGAGTGTGTTTATGGGATTTTTTGACCATTCTTTCGGAAATCCGTATGTGAGGTCACACACAGATGTTGGAGGAGAAGGCTCTCAATCTCCGCTCTAATTTATCTTTAATTAATCCTTAAGATATTCTTTCGGCACTCTGGAGGGGCACTGTGACTAGATGACTCTGAAGTGACTCACCCTGAACCCTGAACCGCACAGACCAGCTGGCTGCTGGGTTTTGCTGCCAAAATGTGAGTTTCTGGAGACCCGCTGGGTCCATCAGATAGTAGCCTACTGGGCTGCTTTCAAGACTCCAGAAGAAAAACAGTGTAGGAAAACCAAGATTAATAAGCTGCATACCTTTGTCTCGAACATCTATATCACTTGCACCAACCAGAACTACAATGCACTTTCTCTTATGTTCCATGACATTTTTACCCAAACTGTTTTTGCCTCCCAAGTAATAGAATACGAGGCATGTCTGAACAAATATTTCCCATGAATACCTGCCACCGGTCTCCTTGCTTACTTCCATTTCCCTGAAGTGGTTACCTGATCGCCAGATGGATTAAAAGGTCCTAATTACTCTAGTTTTTATGTTCAACGTGTCCCTACCCCTGATGGACTGTTGGCGGTTCCAAAGACTGACTTCGCAGTGAAAAATAGGTGCATAGTTGAAAGGATTTTTAACAGCGTAATGAATGGATTAATGCAACCTGGTGCAGACAAGTAACACCTTTTTTCGCCACCTGGAAACATGACTGTACCAAACTAAACAGTCTACCACTTGCCAAGCTGGTGTTACCTGCAATGGTGGAGAACACCTATCGCAACCCAACATTTGCATGGTGGTGAACGGAGGAATATGTGGCAGTGTATTATCCAGGGGGTTCGATGTTGAAGTACAGTTCTGTTAAATGAAGTAAAGTGTAGATGTCTTTACTCCTCACATTAATCAGAGCCAAGGCTAGGTGGACAGCTACTGACAGTCTAACTTAGAAGGCCATTTGCTGAAAGGGTGGGTCAAAATAATAGATTTTTCTACAAACCACACTGACTTTCATTTCCAGCGTTGGCAACGTCTTATAAAATGAAGTTCATTTTCCTTAGCCAACAAGACTCCATCAGCAGCAATATGTTGAAACATTTATTAAATAACTAACTAGAATTTGTAATTTGAATCTTTNTTTTGCTGCGCCTTGACGCGCGTCAACCATTGACTTTGCATGTAAACTCGCTGCTTCTGTCGCGCCAGCTGCCCCCGGTGCGAATGCAGCATAACAGTTCATGAAAAGGTAATAACCTGAAAAGGATTGATAAAGGTATGGTTTTAAAGCATGGTTCTAAAGCTTTGCCCACCAACCCGTCCATCCTTCGAACCAACAATCTCCACAGCCAGAGCGGGCAAAATTAAATCATAATTGAAATTGCTGGCTTAAATATGGTGATATTGATATTGAATGGTGATACTGAATGAGTCCAAAGGCCACTCTAAGGTTAGTGCATACAAACAGATATTTCAGTATAAAAGTGCAATTTAAGAATTGAAATTGGATGTAACGACTGGAATGGAATACCTTATGCTGACCCCTTTTTAAAGTTACCACCGGGCTTTATTTCACTAAAAAGCCCACAATCAGACTTCAACCCAATGTACCCCACATCCAAGGCCTACTTTTTTGTCGATCAAGCTTATATATTTGCCACACAGATTCGGACCGATCAGCAGAAGAGAAGGTAGTATTTTGAAGACTGTAAAAGATTAGCTTGCACCAACATGCAGAAGTTCCTGGAGTGCCATGATGTAATGGATGAAGGGGTTATTATTAGGATCCACATTCTAACCACCTTAGTTCACTGCACCATCCAATTAAACTAGATTCACCCTGACCACGGCACTCTGGAGGGGCACTGTGACTAGATGACTCTGAAGTGACTCACCCTGAACCCTGAACCGCACAGACCAGCTGGCTGCTGGGTTTTGCTGCCAAAATGTGAGTTTCTGGAGACCCGCTGGGTCCATCAGATAGTAGCCTACTGGGCTGCTTTCAAGACTCCAGAAGAAAAACAGTGTAGGAAAACCAAGATTAATAAGCTGCATACCTTTGTCTCGAACATCTATATCACTTGCACCAACCAGAACTACAATGCACTTTCTCTTATGTTCCATGATACTTTTACCCAAACTGTTTTTGCCTCCCAAGTAATAGAATACGAGGCATGTCTGAACAAATATTTCCCATGAATACCTGCCACCGGTCTCCTTGCTTACTTCCATTTCCCTGAAGTGGTTACCTGATCGCCAGATGGATTAAAAGGTCCTAATTACTCTAGTTTTTATGTTCAACGTGTCCCTACCCCTGATGGACTGTTGGCGGTTCCAAAGACTGACTTCGCAGTGAAAAATAGGTGCATAGTTGAAAGGATTTTTAACAGCGTAATGAATGGATTAATGCAACCTGGTGCAGACAAGTAACACCTTTTTTCGCCACCTGGAAACATGACTGTACCAAACTAAACAGTCTACCACTTGCCAAGCTGGTGTTACCTGCAATGGTGGAGAACACCTATCGCAACCCAACATTTGCATGGTGGTGAACGGAGGAATATGTGGCAGTGTATTATCCAGGGGGTTCGATGTTGAAGTACAGTTCTGTTAAATGAAGTAAAGTGTAGATGTCTTTACTCCTCACATTAATCAGAGCCAAGGCTAGGTGGACAGCTACTGACAGTCTAACTTAGAAGGCCATTTGCTGAAAGGGTGGGTCAAAATAATAGATTTTTCTACAAACCACACTGACTTTCATTTCCAGCGTTGGCAACGTCTTATAAAATGAAGTTCATTTTCCTTAGCCAGCAAGACTCCATCAGCAGCAATATGTTGAAACATTTATTAAATAACTAACTAGAATTTGTAATTTGAATCTTTTGCAGCTCAATAACATTTTTCCTGGACTTGGAGGTAAGAAGTCAGTGACCAGCTCTGGCAGACTAGACGAGTTGCAGATTGAAGGGGCCAGTAAGAGGGCAACCTGGACAGGCAAGAGTGAGAGGGACACAGACAGAGGTTGGCTGGGTGTGGAGACAGTGTGTGGCCTTAAAGAATGTGAGTGCTAGTTCTGGAACCGAAGAGAAAGCTGAATAGAAGAAACCCAAGGGTCACTCCAGTTGCATTTGTGCTCAGAGTTTTTACCTTCCAGGTAGATGCAATATAGTGATACAGTGTAATGAGAGGCCAACAATAAAAGTACTGCAGCTTACCCATAGAAAAGCTTCAGGTCTGATTGGGGATTAGTAGATGACTGAAGTTCCATGTCTGGAAATATAAGAACAACTTTTTACATTGTTCCTTCCTCTACACTTAAAAAAAAAAAACACATGCACAATCCTATACCCATTCCCGATAGGAAACATTCATTAAACGCATGTGAGAGCATGTACAAGCCCATGCATGCTCTGTTTAAAAGTTGTTGTTTGCATTGCTCATATAAGCTTATTTTTCAAAAGAAGATTAGCAATTTTTCCACTATGTCAGACTCTCCACCGGTTTGTGAAAACGAGCACCTAGGACGGCTTTATGTAAACACATCACCAGAATGATTGACAATTAGGAGGACCACTTATTTTGATGTTCCAATTGGAAAAATAACATCTTTCATTATATATTTATGATAGAAAGAGTTATGAAAGGATTTATTTGTTGCCTAGGGGCACTCGACGACAAGAGTGTTGTATAAATGTTTAAGATCTAGAACCAAATCAACTTTAACATCCTGTGCTCTAAGGTGTCAGGAATCCAGTTTTTGTGGGTTGTTTCCATGTTTCCTTTTTTCCTCCACCAGGTGGTGCCCCGTCCTCATTGGGCCTCCTTGCACACCTGCAGCTCGTTGCCTCATTATCTGTGGAGTGTTCTTAAGCTGCTGACTGCCACTACCTCGGGCCAGAGTGTTTGCCAGTTTTGGGTACTCTAGCCAAGCTGAGTTTTGCTGAGTCAAACTGAGCTCTTGTCAACCTGAGTTTTAACATTGTTTGTCTTTTGCCTCTCGGCAGGAAGTCATCCTGCTACTGACCTGACCTACTCTCGCTGGAAGGATCAACTGAGCTACAAACTGAGCTGGGGTTCAAACAAGAGGTTTGGATCCACTTTCCCCAAGAGATCGTTTGAGCTTTGCACTGAGAAAGGGATTAATCTCCACTACGACCCGTTCAAGTACCGCAGGAAATCTGAGTGGCAGTCCGTTTTCTCCGTTCTCCTATTAACAACCGCATTCTGGGTAAACCCTGTTCCGCCCTCCACCGAATCAGACAAATACTGGAACTACAGCATACAGACTGGAGTCAAGTATTTATC